GAGCGGAGGCGATCGCCCTCCATCCCAATATTAATTCTCCTATTAAATTAAAGAATGCGAAGGGTTGTGCTGCTTTCATTAAGGGCTGTGGGCGAGCGAGCTCCCTGCAGCCTCCCCTCCTCCGAGCAGAGCACAAATTAGCAACAGGCAGGAGCAATGCCCTTCTGCCTCCCCCTTTTTCTTGCATATTAATCGCTGCGAGTAATAAATGGACTTTGGAGGGCTGGAGGCGGGGACGTGGGGGCTCACGGACGTGGGGGCACCCGCTGTCACCCCCCCCATGGTGTGGTCCATCAGCTCTCATCTGGGACAGCCGCTCCGAAGAAGCAAGGAGGAAGAGGAGGGTGGGGCTCATCCCTTCCTGCTGCTATTGGGGGAAATAATCAGCATCCCGAGGAGGTGAAGGTGTCCTGCTAACGAGGATGGGATTTGTAATTACACGTGGTTGGGGATGGGGTGTAAATCCTGCGTTCAGCTGTGGCCGAAGGGGGATGGTTTGGGATGCTGAGGTAGGAAATCCTGCGCGTCCCAGGGAAGCTTCGTCCTGGCGCTGGTGGAGAAGCTGAATTCCCTTCCCACGGCTTTTATGTTTCGGATCTAAACCCCTGATCATCGCCAGTCCAGGCTCCCTCTGGAGTCGGTGGAGAGAATTGGCACAAATCAGGTAAACACAGGAAAACACCCCAAAGTGACCCAATCCCTTCCGACTCGAGGAGCTGGCCTAACTTCTTGAGAAGTCAAGCTGGAAGTGGGAAGGCGAGGCTTCATCGCGAGGGCAGTCACAGCAGTCCCCACCACCCATCGCCGCACTTCCATCACGGCTGGGAGCGGGCGGCCGGGTACGGGGGGAGCCGGGGCGGGGGGAGCCGGAGCTTCCGGAGCGCGTTAACTCACGGTTAAATCCTGGAGGAAAGGGCACTGCGAATTAACATAAACGAGATCCATCATGTGCCTTGGCAGCTGGGATTAGCCGGGAGAGAGGGGATGCGGGTGGGTGAAAGTTTCCCCTGAGCATCCCGGGGAAGCGGTATTTTATTTTTCTTATATACTATTTTCCCTCGATTTTATTTTCCCTCTATTTTAGTTTTCCTCAGTTTCATTTTCCCTCTATTTCATTTTTCCTGTTTTATTTTTCCTTTATTATCTCTTCCTTCTATTTTCTTTTCCCTCTATTTTATTTTTCCTCTATTTTATTTTCCATCTATTTCCTTTTCCCTCCATTTTATTTACTCTATTTTATTTCCCCTCTATTTTCTCTTCCCTCTATTTTCTCTTTCATTTTTTCCAGCCCCGCCTGGCCGCGGTGCTGTGCAGCTGCTCTGGGTGCCCCTGCTTGGGCAGGGGATTGGGCTGGGTGACCCCAGAGCTCCCTTCCAACCCCAGCCATGCTGGGATTCTGTGATTCTGTGAATCGCTCCTTGACAGGGACAGCTTTCCTGGTGGTGCTCGTCTCTCTGGCCTTTACTAGGCAGGGATCGATTTAAAAATCTGAAGCTCAAAATGCAAAATCCTTCCCCAAAAATGCATCGCTGCTTGTTAGCGTAATTGGTTTTGCTCACTTCGTTTGCAAGACCCCAGCTCGTCCCTGCGGCTCCTTCGAGGACTCGGCCCCGCTCGAGGATTACGGAGTTTCACGCTGAACTTCGCGTTAGATGTCCTGGGGTTTAGGAGAGCTCAACTATTTCCCACCCTTCTTCTCGCCCTGGAAGAAGCGCGAGTTTCGGTTACGTCGCCGCGGGCAGCGTCTCGCCCCCGCTGATTCACCCCGCGCGCCCCGTTTTCGCTCATCTTTTTAAAGCCCGCTGGATTTACGTGTCAACACCAGGGCTTTGCCTGAATATTTGGGATGCTCCCGCAGTGTTCCCAGGTTTTCCCTTCGAAGGGCCAAATTTCCCTTGAAAATCCCTAGCCAGAATCAGAAAGAGGCAGTTTCACCCCAATTTGCTGTAAAAACATCCCCGAGCTGGGGGATTTTGGCTCGCCCCAAGCTTTTAAGAGAGATCTTGCTTCAAGCTCGGCTCTTTGGGCTTAAAAGCGTGGACTTTGGCAGCCAGCCCTCGGCTTTCGTGGTGCTCAGCGGCTC